ATTGCCATCTTCCAGCATTTACCAAGGCCTAAACAAAAACAATAGCCTTAGCCTTAAATAAGCTAGAGTCACAGCTCTAACAGATGGTTGCACCAGACAAGCTTTTAGCGCAGATCAGACCCGAGCACCTCACAGCCCTCACGAGAACCCACCAAGATGAGCAAGTGAGATCCCCCGAGTCCAAGCACGAAGCAGGGAGTGAAGTCTCAATCCTTCCAAGCATGCGTGTGCCTCCGAGTACGCAGGACTACCTCCTTTGAAGTGGCTCACAGATGAAAATGCAAGAATAGGTCCAAGTGATTTACCTGAGAAGTCAGAGGATGCTCGCATGCTCCACCATGGGCACTTACGCCTTCTGCTGGACCAAGCAACTCTCCCAAGGACATCTGCAGCAGAGTCAGGAGGTGAACCTAAGTGCCACTGTGTGACTTTCCCTCTAAGGTCAACTTCCACGACAGATTCTGTAAACTGGACCTACAAAACGAGCTCTCAGCAAGAAGCCATGCTCGCCCAATCGTTCAACAGTCTCTAGGGCTTTCTCCAAGTCCGATTTCAGTATACTTGTGCCATTGCAACACATAGTGCCTTTGCCATATAGTAAATTTTTCCCTGATTATTCAGAAAAAATAACCTGACGAATGGGAACTGCGTGACCAATGCTATGAATAACTAGCTGCCTTTCCGCAATGAAAACTCTATGACAAATTGGCATCTGTTGTTAAAGTGACAAATGCAACTTTCCCCTCTGTAGACCTTCCCACCTGTTACTCCATGGATGATGACACCATTTATGTGCTGCTAACAAACTGAAAGGTGCTTCACTTTCAAGGTGACTGGGCTTTGTCGAGAAATGTAGTATTTATCGAATGAGAGAATTGGTTATCCTAGTGAACATCAGAGCAACGGAAGCACAGATCCTGTAGGAAGGCTTGCGTCACCTGCACATGTTGGACCCCATCTCCCTTAACTTAAGGCACAGTAAACGATGCATGGCCCCAGTGAAAGAACCACGCAGAGGTGTTTTGACATTGCAGCACTTCTAACCCTTCGCCATTCTCCCAACACCTTCCATCTCCTGTCACTCCTCGCTCAGCCCTGCCACCCCAGGCTTGCCGCTCCCCCTCCTCAGGAGCAGCAGCAACTGCGGTGCCCAGAGGGCTTCAGGTGTGGTTTTTTCCGTGGCTCTGCCCTCAGTATAAATGCACTCCACAATGTCTAGGAACTATTTGTGTGGTTGTCATCTCACCTCCCAGATCATCCAGGCAACCTGGCTGCTGCACCTGACGGATGCTCACTGACTTCCAAGGGCATAAGACCCTCATGTGTTCTTTAAAATCTGCTGAGATACGTAAGAGAAAGTCTGGGAAAGAAGTAGGTTAACAGAAGTCAGTGTGTTATAAAGAGCTTTCTTTCCCATAAACCACTAGCAATCAGGGTGGCGAGACGGGGGGAGGAGAGAGGGACAGAAAGGTGGGAGGGAGGGGCTGAAGGAGGCAGGCTTGATGGCTTGCTTATTTATTTTCATCTTTTAAAAAAGAAAAAAAAAGGCAAAACAAAAGAAGAAAATACTTAGAAGGCAAGGTTTCCATAGGAAAAAAATATTTTATTTTTTTAAGAACAAATTCAGTTTGAAACAGAGGTGGAATGTGATTTTTCATAATTTTCATTTTCTGGGAACTAATTGCAATGTGGAACTAAAGCATATTTCAAACTTATGACCGGCTAGTTTTAAAACAGAACAAAACAAACAAACAGAAAACAACAACAGAAAACAACAAAAAAAAAAAAAAAGGAAAGAAGAAATTATTTATAACTCAAGCATAATACTGTGTTACTTACAAATTGGACAAAGAAATTCTTAAATAAATATCCATGGTACACAATTTCAGCACAAATATGCGGCAATTTGGCAACCTTTTATACCATTTTTTTCCTCAATACAGTGCAAAGGGGAATGACACTGCCTTTAAACAAGCTGTAGCTAAATACATTGCAAAATTCAAATTTTATACAAAACATCTTGCTCGGACTTTATAAAAAACCAACATTGCTCTATATACACAATCTGGTTAAGAAAAGCCATTTTTGTCTTGTTTTCATATTTGTTTTTTTTATTATTTAAAAAGGTGAATAAGGCTACTGTAACACCCCAAATCCATATACAGTAAATCTGAACTTATTTACAGCATCTTCACTTAGACATGATGGTGCAAATTCCAAGTCGGGTGACTGGGGATGATCATACAAGCAAGGCATTTACAGTAACTTTTCAAAGCTGGACCAACGTCAAATAAAGGAACAGTTGGTAGATTGTCATAATTCTGCACCAGACACAAAACAGACGCACAGTACATTTTTTTTTTTCAATTGGTTGCAGGTTGCTCAAGAGCAATTCGTCTGATTTTTTTTTCCACAGTTTAGTACATATCTAGAATGTAGCCAACTGATGAAGCATAGATTTGATTTAATAAAAATCGGTATCAGTAAACCCCTCTTTTCCCTTCCTCCCCCTCCCCCAAAATAAAATCTTAATGACTTACAAGAGAACCTTGTATGGATGGATTCACAGAAAGGAAGGGTTGTTGAAAAGAATTACATATGTACTGTAGTTAGTCACCATGGTAACCTTCCACAGAACCATGGGTTGAGATTTTTTTGTTTTGTTTCTCTCTTTTGGACCAACATCCCAACATCATTTTCAGGTTCAGGAAACAGAGAGAGTGATCATATCTATGACAGTTTTTTCTTTTTTTTTTTTGTTTTCTTGCAGGTGCTCACCAGAGGTCTGAGAACCCCAAAATGCTTTTGCTACATTTTCTTTCCAAATCAGAAAGCAAAGTGTTACCATAGTAACATGACTATGTTAGAAACGTCTATTTGCATAGCACATATAAAAGTAGAGTTTTTTTATTTCCTCCCCACAGTGGGAGCTTTAGGGGAATAGCCATGCTAAAGAGAGAACTTTAACCTGAAACCCCCCCTCTACGAACCTCAACGAAATCTACAGAACACATCAGCCCATAAGGCAAGGGAAAACACAACACAGAAAATAAATGCCGGCACACCTTGTCATTGTTAAACACGTGAGGGCAGTAACATTGATTTCCTGATATTTTGGGCCTTTATTTCCTAGTTTTCTCTTATGAGATTATTTGGATTTTTTTTTTTTTAAATGCTCTCACTGTTATTTTTTGATGGCTGATGTTTTTCCCAGAAACAGGGGTTTTTTAATGTTTATATATATATGCATATATAAACATATATACGTGTGTATATACATATATACACACACATACATATATGTAAAACGATGACAAGTTAAGACTATTTAATTGTCGCAAATTAATTTCACATCTTCTGGTGTAGATTCTGTGCAATCTCAAAATATATATTAGTAAAAAAAGCAAACCAAAACAAAAAAGTAAGAAAGAACGAACGAACGAAAAACTCTTACTTTATATCCCTTGTGTTCTATACACCTATTATAAATAAGACATAGCTTCCTTCTCCATCTCAGTGTCATAATTTATTTTATTCTTACGGACTGCAAGAGGTTTGCCATATGTGCTTTAGCTTTGCAACAGAGCACCAATGAACTGCTGTGTCAGTCACAGCACCGACACTCACTGTGCAGGGACAGCGCTACAATAAACCAAAGTGTCAAAAGGCTCAGTCAGAAAGAATTTCTGTCTTACTTTTAGAGATGAGAAACGGTGGTTTGGTTTGGGTTTTGGGTTTTTTTTTTTTCCACAACTTTACCAGTGATAGAATTACAGCTCATTTGACCCATCAGCTTATAATCATCTTGGTCAGATTTGGCTCTGCTATTTTCTTAAATGCTTTCCCTGTGTTTAGTAAAATGTGATAGTATAGCAGCTGCGTCTGCTTAAAAGTCACCCAAAGCAGACTACGTTTTTGCTACAGCTCCAAAGCTGTATATTTTATTGCCAGTACCACAACAGCCCTGCCCTAATACATCCTCAGCGGCCTGCTATTGTCTTGTCCTCTCCAAGCTTCTTCACTTACTAACAACACCCCTTTGTTCTACTGTATTGAAGGTACTATTTTTTTCTGCACACTGGTATTTGATAACCATGAATTCCTTCAAATGCAGCCCTTATCCACTGCACGTGTTATTGTGTCTCCTACTTGCCTCTTAGAACTTAGCATACCAAAGTGCTGTGCTACCTAAATGTTTGTGGTTTTTTTTTCTCCTTTTTTCTTCCCAGCTTCTATTTTTGAGGCAGCAGTGTTCAATTGTAACTGCAGTCAGCTCTTCCCTCCACCACCCAGTCCTCCTCTTGACTTTGTTGACAGCCTAACTTTTTGGCTGGAAGGCTCCTTACTATCAAACACAATTTCTATAAATGCATTACCCATTCGAGTGAGGCTGCTGTAGCAGATGGATGGAGCGTGGATCTCCAAACATTAATGTTCCATTAGTGATTCAGGAGGTGGAGTGAAAGGAAATCTCATGTGAAGGATGGCAGAGCCCCGGATAACAGAAACAAATGGAACAGTGAACGGACTAAAAGCAAGAGAACTTTAACAAGTCTTACTTAGACACCAAGGTCTGTGTGACAAATCCAGTACGCACTGAGAGAGACATACAAAAGTCAGAAGATTGCATTTCAAGCTTGATATATCCTAGAGCACCTTCCCAGGATGCCTAGAGCTATTAACATCCATGGATCACTCCATCTTCCCTTGGCTTTTGTACATGCCTGAACGCCCACAGCACATGGCTTTGAGGATGATGAATGTAACAAGAGTACAGCAATCAGAATGGGCATCTTCTACACAAAAGTCTTCCAGCTTTTAGTGAATACTTATTCACCGAGATAGGAATTCTACAGACTAGGTAAGCTGTCCAGCTCGCGTCGGCTCCTGGAGAAAGAGCTGTCGCCTTCTCCCCCCCGTGCTTGAGTCAATGCTAGCGCACCAGGCATCATCACAAACCCCAACAGAAAGCATTTGACCAGTGAGTTTCCTCTACGACTCAACTGTACCACAGAGTTGGCTGTGTGTTTTCTCAGACCTTGTAATAAATGTTTGCTGGACTCTGAGGAGGCATCTCTTGAACTATGTACACCGGATGTCCATAGTCACCGCTGACCTTTTCATAGTGGGGGCAAAAGACACTGTCTGCAGTCCTTAGAGGAATGATAATGTCACTGGGCTCAGAACCATTGTTGTTGCCACTGCGCTTTGGGGTGGCTAACGTACTAAGTGAGAGCGTTGTCGTGTGTTGCGGGGAATGCTTCCTGTGTCTTCTCCGGTACTTCAACAAAAGAACCACCAAAGTGATGATGATGACGATGAAAATGATGCACCCTGATGCAATCCCTGCAAATAAGGCCACCTCTGAACCCAGTATACTGGAATGCCCAGCCTTACTGCCATCTGTGCTAGATCCTGGAAAGAACGGAAATACAACAGACAAAAGTTATTGCCATTCTGCAACCCGTTTACGCTGCTTAAAAATGTGTAGAGTAAGCAAGACTGGAAGAATTAACTGACAGCTAAACTTTGACAAACCGATTACCCTGTTAGATAGCTAAATGCAAACAGCCGAAGTCAGCAATCAATATTAAACAAGACTTTGTGTCTGTTGGTCTCACTTTTGTGTAGCTCCCAAACCACCCTGTTTCATACATCATCATCCATCAGCAGCGAGGACTGGCACTGACAAGGCAGCCTTTGATGCACACCGCATCTGTTAAGAGATGTCGGTCAGCCCCGGGCAGCGGAGAGGGGTGGGCTAGGACTGCGAGGGGAAAATAACACAGGGAAACGACAATTCTCAGGACAACTGGTACTGTGCAGTGTCACACCGTTCTGCTATTTTATCTTTCCCACATTGTTTTAAGCTAAGCTGCCCTTAGTGCTTCTTTACGTGGACTGCTCTTGCTTGCACATGAAACACAGGAGCCTGAGGCAGTGCAGGAGATAAGACAGGCAAAATGGCTGTGGCATGTATCTGTATTAACTTACATTTACTTAAAAGAAAACACCACCATGTATTTGGTAGTCAGGAAAAGCTCACGTGCTGAACAGCCTGTTGAATATTTGCTGCCGCCACCACACTGTCATATTATTTGTTGCAAAAATTAAATGAGTGCTCACTTGACACTTTCTCACTTGAAAATTTGAACTGACTTTCCCTCTCTTGATGCTCACTCAGAGGCGCAAGAATGCTGCCGATGCTGTGTCCATGTAACTGTGAACTTTTCCTACTGGAACCTCTGTAGGAAACGGCTGAAGCCTGAGCAGCAACCGCCATATCGAAGATTCATCAGCCCAGTAACTAATGACAGAGCTAGCAAGGGAAACTTGCAGCCATTTCAGGAACCTCAGAATCAACTGTCAGCAAGTTTTGCTTTCTAGCATTCCCAGTTCACAGAATTTTCTTCCAGAGATGTTGGGTCTTAAAAGTTGAGGTTTTTTTCTTGTTCACCTAATGTCTGAAACACATCCTGAAGATATTTGTTTGGAACCATCTGTTTATCTTGTTCAGATAATTATTAGGAAAAAAAATCTCTAAATTTAGTGAAAGACAGCCATTCATGTGTAGACTTTAAATGGTCAGTTAAAAGATCAGGACATTAATTATAGATGCCTTGAAATAAACTTTATAAATGGCTGTCGAGAACCACTTGATAATGTATTATACGGGAAGAGAAAGACAGAAAGACTCGTTCATCTGCCAGAGTACTAAATGTAAGGCAGCATTTACCATCGTAAAGCTGCTTAGCGAATGTCCTATCCAAAAACTTTCCTGTAAATGAGTGATATTCTCACAAGATGTAATTAACTTCTACTGCAAAATGGAAGAGGGGAGAGAGCATCCATTGCCAAAACTTGCAGCTTCCAGACACTATCCACCAGAGCATCACAACTGGCTTTTGCTTCATCTCAGTACAAAAACATTTGTTTTTCTGGCACTTTAATGGTAAAATAAAATGCGTTAGGGACAAAGGAGGAGACTCCGACAGAGCCCCATCCCAGGCGTGAGCCCCGCTGCACCTACCTGAGTGGTCCTTCACAAAGGGGCTGGTGGTAGAACTCTTCCCATTGGTGCCAGCTTCCTGCTCGGGGCGCTTGGTGGGATCTGTGTGCCGGGGCAGCCCCGCCGAGTTGGGATCTGGGAGAGAGAAAGACAACTCATGCAGCTTCGGCGCTTGATGGTACGGAGCAGTATAAGCCGGCTCTATGTACCTCGTGAGACACGAAATGGCTTTGAACAGAAGAATCTTTATGCAAAGGTCTGGGAGATATAAGTACATAGTTTTCTTTTTAAAGCAAAATGGTTGTATTAGTTATTTCAGAGGTCTAAATTGTGAGACCATCTGCAGAAACTATAGGGACTCCTGTAATAGGCAAGAAAAGCTTTGCAGATGACATTTCAGTTTGACTGAGGAAGTTGATTGACTACTAAACCAACTTCTGCTTAGAAGAATAATTCTTTCTTCCTGCACAATAGGTTATCTATATGTGAAAGGAGACAATGAACAAAAACCTCTCTGTAATCAGAATTTGTAATAAGCAAACTATAGAAATATTAGCTTCCCTCCTTTCATGTATTTTAAATAATTTTGAACAGCGGAGTTGTGGCTTTTGTTTTTAAAATAAAAATAAAAATGACTGAAACACACTACTCCCAGGTGACCTCTCCTTCTAGGGATCTCTCCAATGAAGAGATCTTATTACACTAACCCTCCTCCTGTAGAAATCTGTCAGTAGCTGAAGAAGAGAAAATAGCCTTTGCTTTCAGACTACAAGGGAGGAATGACCACACTAGACTTGGCTGGCTCTCTGCTCTACGCTGCTAAAAGAAGGATGAAACCTAAAAGGACAGTGAGACTGATCAAAGTGATTTCATGAAACAGCAGATGGTCTTTACCTTGTCCAACTTTCATGAGGATCTTCATGGTTTTTGTCTGGCACACCCCTCCCTCCTGGTTATCCAGGCCCTCCAAAGACCCATTTGATGTTGCTGATTAAAAATAAAAGAAAAATAAATAAATAAAAAAAAAACAAATAAAAATCAGGAAATCAACAGGCAAAGTGATGTGAACATGAGCGTCTGAAAGCAGGAATCCTTCCATCTACCAGGACCTGTTCTTGTTGCTGGGGCTGACCTATGGAAAGTTGTGAAATGTTGAAAGCCAAAGGAATGAATACATTGGTAAGGTGTACAGGATATACAAATGGGGGAACGCGTTATCGAGGTTGCAGATTTACCCACAACCATTTTTTCTATGCACAGTTGACTAACCGACTGACTTGGACGAAAACACAGCACCTTGCTAGAAGGTGATGGAGTCAGCTGAAAAGGAAGCCCTGGCAGGCTCAGCGGAGCAAAGCACTGAAAATTCACCCTTCCTCCCCTCCCTCCCCCAATATCTTTATAATCACCACGTTACACCTGCTTCCTCTATTACAAATCTCCTGCTGGAAGAAGTGAACGCATACAAAAGACCCAGGTGAAAGCAGAGATTCTGCAGTGATTGGAAAACCATTTAATATTTTAAAGTACAATCTCACTTTTCTCAGCATTGAGGAGCCTCCGTGGGGGCGGGCGGCAGGGAGGAATATGTTCTATTCTCACGGAAACCTTTTAGCTCGTACAAACAACCGGCTGCTTTCCCCTGTGTTTATATGGTTCTCGCGTATCCAGGTGCCGGCTGGAACCGCGCGCCCCACGCCCCCCCCCGCGCACCCCCGCCGCAAGCTGACGCTGCGATGTGATTTGAGTGCAATGCACAACTCCCTTGGAGGATCCAAAACGTTGAGTCACGCTCTAGGGGTGCGCCACCGCTGCCGCCCGAGCCAGCTGTTGGTTGCAAACCCCCAACAGCTGCTGGAAAATTATTCAGCAGCTCCCCAGCTGCGGGCACCAGCGCCGCGCCAGGCACTGGCCGCGTCGGCGTGCGTGCTGGTGTCCCGGCTGCGGTGGCAAAGCAGGCACGTCCGTCGACGGGGGAATCCGGCTTTGCTATTTAGGGAGCGTGGGTTTTCCCACCCCAGTTGTCCCAGGAGTGGAAATTTCACCATCATTTCTTGGAGCTGCTTCTCCATGGCCCAAAAAGCACGCACGAGCGGGTGCACGCAGGCGCGCCGGCACCCGGCCACCAGCTGGAGAAAACAAACATCAAATCGGAGATAAGGGAGCTCGCTGCTCGCCCCAACGGTGGTGAACTGCTTAAGCAGCACTTTCCTGCCTCTGCCCCTCTCCTTTCAGCTCGGGATCTAATTCAGCCAGGGCTTCACACTGTTCGGATCTTTGTTTTTAATTCTCGCTCCTTCTCTGTCGCCTTCCTTGGGGATTTTCTTTTAAATGCAGCCTATGTATATTTCCTTTTTCCTTCACAATGTCTTTTTAGCCCCATGGCAGTATTTTTCTTGCTCTAATCTTCTCTCTACCCGTAAAGATATAAACCCCATACCGCTGAACCCTGCTTCCTAGCCTTTGATCTACTTCTTGGTTTTGTTCCACTTCTGCCTCTTTTGTGACTAACTCGAATTACAGCCACCATACCAACTTCCCAAATTGTCCTTTCTTTCACTAAAATTCCCTTGTTCTCATGCGTGGTCCCTCTCAGTTCTTCCTCTTGTTCCCTCATCCCTGTAAAAACATGACAATGGCCGTACGTGCAACTACTTCTTTTTTTTCTAACTTGCAAAAAGACTTTTTAAAATATAGAAGAGCACAATGAGTAATTTAAGATAAAAGCCGATCTGAAATGTGCCACTGCATTGCCAGGCTCAGAAAATAATGGAGACATATAGTTTTGTTTTCTTTTGTTTTTTTTCCACAGGGAAAAAAAAATCAATACTAAGAACCCGTTCTCGACATAAATCAAATGTGTCTTTGCTGAAAGTGTTTTTTATGACCTGTTTGCCAATGTACCAGCAGAAGGACAAGGAAAAAAGAAGCAGTAAAACAGAAATACCAAAGCTGAGCATCAACCGAAAGTGCAACTAATAAACACTGATTTTGTCTTGTGTTTTTCTGCTGCTCTTCGTTTGTTTTTCAATCGAGGCAATAGGGGCTCACATCTCCTTAAACACCTTCTACTTGATTTTAATTGAATCGAGTGCTGCTGCTTCTGAACATCAATGCCTTTTTATTCTTTAAAGGCCTATCCATTTAACCCACAGAGCAGGAGACCTCAATAAGATGCAGAGGATGCAGTCTGACCTCAGTACAGAATAAGAAAGTACGACGGCAAAAAGAATGCAAAATTACTTCAAATACAGTCTCCAAACGGGAAGGCCCAGCTGTACAATGAGTCTGGTTGTGTGCCTACGCGAGTGCAATCTGCCTCGCTGGCTTGCTAAAAGAATGCTTTCATAGCTTTGATGTCAGATGAATGAATCTGCAGAAGTATTCACTTTTTCCACAGTTCTTCAAGGGGTTTTCGGAAAGCCTACGTTATAGCTCAGAGTACGGGCTGCTACGTCCCGAGGAACAGGGACATTTTCAAAGAGGAGCATTTCAGTGACAAAGCAAAGTTTCCATCTCGGCTTCTCCCTGTAATTAAACTGACAATTACCCAAGGCCACGGGAGGAAATTATTTTTCAAAATTCATTAAGACTATCGAAATATAACCTCACATATCCCTAGTGTACCAGGAAGAAAGTGGGTAGTTTTAAACACATCGTTTCAAGCTTTGAAAAGCTGCATGGAGAAAAAGAAGTAATCTGAGACATCAGAGAAAACAGTGTTTCACACAGCTAATGCCCCTTGACAGTTCAGCGTGCAGAAGTCAAACAAGGGAGTGAGTACAAAATACTCCCAAACACTTGCCGCTGCCTTTCTATATTGATCTCCAAATTAAAATTATACCTGCTATCATGTAAGCTCCACCACTGCACTCACACTTCTGGAGGCAAGTGACCCTGTGCCTGGAGCTCTGCTCACACTGGAAGGATGTTTCAAAAAAAAAAAAAAAAAAAGCATTTCTGATAGGAGTTTTGGGTATAAACATAGAAACATAGCACAAGTTTCTTGTGTCTAAAATGGAAATGTTACTCTACGGTGTGCTTATATGATCAAGTTTTAGGCCTTCCAGACAGTTTATTTTTATATACATATATGTAAAAAAGAACAGGTTTGGGGTTTTTTTTATATTTAGGTCTAAATATGGATATTTTTTACAGGCAATTACTCACACATGAACTACCATACATGGCGCTGTGCTGAGAAGACTAGATAGTACTTAAATATTAATATTAATAAACATAATTAATGAATAATATAAAGTTTCTAATGAGTATTTAATGTTCCCAGGATCCCACACTTCCCTTTGTATTAATACAGCAACACACAGGAAACTAAAAGTAAGTACAATGTTGCCAAACAGGTAGAAAAATATTTTTAAATCTTTTGATGGGTAGGTACCTCTGATTTTCTGAGACCTGTCCTACTCCACTGATGTCAATTGCAAAACTAATAATTGCAGTCAAAAGCGCACTAAATTGTTCAGTCAACAGTTTATCCACACCTACAAATAAACATGTATAACTGCCCTAAAATCTCTATTACTTCTAAGATTTTCTGACAAAATCATGGTAATTTATAGGCAATGTTTACAGCAGTCAGTCAGAAATGATGTTTGAGCGCCGTATACACACTGTGTGTCTGCATTCCTTGAATACAACAGCAGCTGCCATTTTATAAGGAATATAAGTTTGGGGTTTCAACTTTCAGAAAAAAAATGACTTGTGAAATTATGGCTAAGAGTCTGCTGATACATACTTACTTTGGAGAAGCTGGTATACATTTCTTCTCCCATGCACAAGAGGAAATGAAATTATTCAGACCAACGCATTTCCTTTCAGCTCTGCCTTCCCTTCGTCAAAATACATAAATTATTTAAAAAAAACAACCAAACAGAAAAAAAAAAACCCACCCACCCCCCCGAAAAAACCCTGTAACTCATGTAAATAAATGTATGATGTTTTGCATTTATTTGCTTTTAAAACCTCACAAGTGTTGTTTATTGTATGAAAGGCATTAGTCATAAATGCAGAGGCAGGGAATCAGTGAGCGAAACAGAGTCAGCTGACAAGAATAGTTCCTGGCTATGATTCTTATACAGTCCCCATGGAGAGGAAGTAATATTACATTTTAATATGTCTTCATTTGATTGTTATTACCCTGCCTCCCAGGAGGCTAAGCCACTGCATGGATCTTGGCTGTTTTCAACCTATCAGGTTGGTAACATTGCTCTAATCAGATGGAGAATTAAGCCGCTGGATTTGTGCCTGCCTATAGCTTTTCATTCACAGAGAGATTAGAAATGAAGGCACAGTCACAAAAATTCAACTTCCTTCACTCCTAAAAACACATTACAAAATGAAAAAATGCCATCACAATTACTTAAAAGAAAACACCAGCAGACAAAAATCTCAGCCTCTTAATTCTGCCACAATTATTACCCATACTTTCATGTTTTAGCATTATGAAAAACATTACCTACTTGCAAATTAAATGTCATATCCTTTGAACCGACACAGCTTTGTAACACATTTCTTTCTAGAGCTTGAATAAGAAACGGACTACATAGCTGAAGAGAGAAATTATGATCGTTGTACTTAATTTTCCAGTGAAAACTAAATGGACCTTAAACCACAGACTATAGGAATGAATGAGCAATGTCAACTGGTGGGTGAGGGCAAAAGTGGTTTTGTCTCCCTTTGGTGTGCTGGATGATACAAGCCATTTGGCAATGTATCAAAGGTACATCATTGACACGGTCATCAAAAATTAATTGGTGTTGGTGTGGATCTGTTAATTGAAAAATGAAAATTGCAGCTTTCTTTGGGGTAGATCAGTACTGTCCAAGAGTAGTGTTTTTCACAATTTTTTTCTTAAATACTGCTTGAATTCAGCATAGAAAATAGGTTTCTCAAAATCAGAGCTAAATAAAATCAAATAACCCTACTCATCTCTACTTCTCCCCAGCTGTGCTTAGAAATGGAATGGA